GGCGCGGCGCGCGCCCGGGGGCCGGGTAGGCGGCGGCGCGGCCCGAGGAGCGTGGGCGGGTGGGCGAGCGAGCCGCGTCGCGACGTGATGTGACGTGACGTGACGTGACGTGACCCGAGCCGGCGACACCGGTGGGTTTGCAAGGTGCCCTGTCCCGAGCGTGTGACAGGAGCTTCGTGCCCCGCGGGGGCGGTTAGGCGCGCCTGTGACAGCTACCTACCGGGCACCAGTGACGGGTGGGGGGTGTCCCCCTGCGTGGGCGACCTTCGGCCGCCACGGTTTCTTCTGTGTGCCCTCCCAGAAGGTGTCTTTAAGCAGCCGTTACAGTGAAATGCCAGCCGCGGGGGCGCCGCCGAAGTGTGGCGGCCTGCCGGGGGCGGCGTGGGGCTCTGTGGCGGTTGGCGTGGGCTGCCCTCTCGGCCCCGCTGCCGGCCCGGGCCTGGGGGAGACATTCCTCAGCCGGGTCTGGCGGCTACTGGAAGGAAGCGTGCCTCGGCTGTTCCCTCCCGCTGGAGCTGTGTCACGCTATGCCGTTAGGAACAGGGCAGGGGCAATTAGGGTTACCGTGGGGCTCTGTTCTGTGTGAGGATGGTAAGCCCACTGGGGTAGTTTGGGATTTCTGTGTTGCAACCTTGGCGACAGAGTTCGCCTTTGCAATTCCTGTTACACATTACTCTGGGGGGGAGGAGGAGTCGGTGGGTTTTTTCACCCTGGTGTTTTTTCTTGCCTTAAAGTGGGATTAACTTTTATACAGTGACGTAAATTAGAGTCCAAAGCTCAGCAGGTGCATCCAGATGTTTAGTTTGTTACACAGCTTTTTTTGTGGGACAAAGGCTAATCCTCTGGAACGCAAACCTTACTGATGATTTTTGGAAAACTTTTTGTTGTTGTTCTTTTAAATGGACTGAGTATCTTCAGTTCCTGAGAACGGATCATCCGTTTGAGCTCTTAGACTAGATAGATGCATCACATCTTTGAACCTGAGAATTACAATATTCTTCAAAAACCCTTGCTTGCTACCTTATAAAACTTGCCAGTGTCAACTACTGTAGGTGCGCAGCACCATTGCAGAGCAATGGCTGTCATACTGGTGATGACTTGGACTAGTCAGTCTGTCTGGTGTTTTTTAATAACAGAAAAAGCATATAAAGCAACCATGCAAAGGTCACGTCGCAGACCTGTGAAACAGTTGAACTTCCAGGCATTGCACCAAGTACAAAAGGATATTATTATTTCAGATTCTGTGTATGTCTAAATCTTTTAACAGAAATAGTGTGGTTTTACTTTCATACTGATTCCCTGTAACAGTCTTTTTTCTAGTGTAGTACAGACACTTATTTGTTGGGGACAGGAGACGATGTTACCTGCTCAGTCCTTTCAAGTCTTAGGTGTCATAGGCCTTACCTCCTCATGACCTAAGAGGACAAGGATGTTTGCATGTGGTTAAATAGTTATTAACTGGTGTGTATGCTTGGAGAGCAATGTTTGACAAATGTTAAGCTGCTTTGACAAACTCTCTAGGCTAGTGCTGCTGTCAAGAGAAGCAGCCCTGTTGTCCTTCTGCTACATCATACTTTTGCGGGCACAGGTAACTGAACGGTAAACTGGAGGGAATTTGTTCAGCTGAAAACTAACATTTTTCCCCTCCCTCCTCCCTTATAGAACTGGTTTTCAGCTTTTCCAGTATAGTTCACTATGGACTCTGCAAACACCTGCTCCAGAAGAAAGTTCTGGGAAGAGAGTCAGGGAAAGACAGGATTGTGGCTTCTAGCAGCTCTGACCCCTGTAGGTGTTCAGCCATCCAGAGCCTCGGGGTTTGTTTCCAGGCAGCAGCTGGGGATATGGGTGGACAAATGTAATCTTTTTCAGAGTTTCAATCATTGATCTTTTCTGGTGAAGATCAAGGCTACCCAATCATTCTCAGTGCTAAATTAGCTAGGATGGCTTAAACTGCCTTTATAGTATTTTAATGACTGCAGATTATTCTATGGGAGGAGGAGCAAGTGTATGCTGTTTTTTTGTTAGCATTAAAAATAAGTAGTTGAGGTTCAGACAGTAGCTTTGCAAAAAGAAAAAGGACAGATAATAAGTCTTACCTATAATTGATATTTCTTAACACAATAGCTACTTTCCTTATTGCTGAATGAAGAGTTTTCACTGGGTACCATTTCTGACCGTGAAAAAGAAGAACTGGAGAGGAAACAAACTATGAAAGTATTGGTTATTGGCCTTGGAGGGTAAGTATTAGCAAATTAAATTTCCTCCACAGTTTAAGACTGGTCTTCCTTTCAGAATTAAGTTACGTCATTTCTATTTCCAAATGGATATTTTTTTGAAAATAGATTACAAGCACAACATACAATTGTCTCATTTTATGGCATATAACTCTTAAGAAATTTTTCTGTCTCTGTTGGAGATCTCAGGTGCCAGCTCTCTAATCTCTTTTTTTGGCACTGCTAGATTTACTGTCTGAAAACTGTTGGAACCTGCCAGAAAATTTCTAGAGGTAGAGAGTATTTAATGTGAATAAACTTTGGGGGGAGTTTGGATTGTGTATTTTTGTCTCACTATGTAGAAATGTGTGTGTGAGCCTGTACATATGTTTAAAAGATTGATTTTTGTCTTGATGCAGTTTTTACTATGTTTTCTGTCTCAGTGTAACAAATGGAGGGAAAACAACGCTGGCAAAAAAGCTTAAGAAAATGCTTCCCAACTGTGATACAATCTCTCAAGACGACTTCTTTAAGGTAATAGTATTCATAGAAAGACCTGATCGGTAAAAGTAGGCTCAAGTAGATTTTAGTGTAGTTTCTTCTCTTTTCAGTTCTCCTATTGATAAACTTTTAAAATTGACACTACTTAAAATAATGTCGAATTCATGAGAAAGAGAAATAAAATGAACAACTGGGGTAATTAAACTTTCAGTGGCCAAAACCACCAGGTATACCTGGCACCTGACACCAGGTTTTCTGTTGTCTTTGATACCCTTTAAAAATAAGAGTATATGTTGGATGCATTTTTCAAGATACCTTGTGCTAATGAAGTTAATGATACTGTGTTAACACTACACCCATAGATAGTTCTCTTCCTCCCAAATCAAAACAGAAAAACAACTTTTCCATTGATGTTGGAGTTGTTTGTGAAGGAGGGTGAAGCAGCTTCTTATTTCTTAAGTAAAGCTCTAATGAACTTAAGAGGTATGATTTGGAGAATTTGTTGTTCTAGGTTAAATAAAGTGTTGTATTGTATTTTAATAGTTGTATACAGCAGTTTAATTTTGAAGATAAATTTAATCAATTGGGATACAAAAGTGTATAATCTTTATGTTTGATACTGAAGAATATGTCTCTGTGACAGCGGTTGTAAAAGCAGCCTTGAAAATATTGAAATTTTTTCCCCTTCAGCCAGAGTCTGAAGTAGAAACAGATGAACGTGGATTTAAGCTGTATGATGGTCAGTAACTTTGATGCATTGCTTTTGAACATTGTGCTGAAATTCTGTTGTGCTGAGCTTGAACATTTCTTCCCCTCCTCCTGCTGCCCCTCTTCTCTTCTGAGCAAGGCAGTGAACAAATGGTTGTTTCAGAGCAATCCTTTGCTTAGTTTGTTTCAGCTCACTGAGGTAAATAAGAAAACTTGCTGAACTAATAAATAGCTCAAGCCAGTGCTTGACCCTTCATTTTCTCTTTTTAATCTTTTCCTCTATTTCTACAGCTGTGTCTAGTGCAGTAGCAAACGGTGCTGTTCAGGTAAAAGTGTTGGTTTGCAGCACTGGCATAAGCTTAACCTCATCACTTTCTATGTGAGGATGGGTTGGTTTTTTTTCACTTTGATAATGAACTCCTGCGATATCACCACTGAGTCTCTTTCATTGTCATATTCCAAATCAGCCTAAACTCAGGTTTGATTCTGACACCTTTACTTCATGTCTGATCTCACATAGAGACCAAATGTTTTGAAGTTCATGGTTAATGCTGGCTCAACATGCTAATTTAGTCTTATGAACTAGATCCAGATCCACTTTTGGTTCAGGTCATATGTAGTTGTGAACAGTTGCTTATTTGCCAATCCCTGTTGACACTTGGTGATCACAAAATGCATTACCCAGAACATTGGCCAGGACCTTAAATTCTATCTAAAAACTGATTCTTATCAGCTATGCAGTCTTTGGCTCTACTGTTAGACTTAATGAAACTGGAATGTTGAACTGGAGGGATAAGTTGGACATTCTGGTTCAAATATCTGTGTTTAATGCTGCTCTTAAAAGCTCCTCTAACGTGTTTACTCTTATGTTATCCAAAGGTTGCCTTCTCTCTACCGTTCAGTACTTACTCAGTATGTTCTTGCAGACACAATGTCTGCAGACAAAACCAGGTGCTACAGAGTTGAGAGACCATACCAGTCCTGGGGAAAGCTTTAGTTTCAGGGTATCATCAGTTGCAAACATGGAATTTTTGGGGTAATCCTGTTCCCTTTCATTTAGACTTGTATGTAGACTATTAGATTCTTACTGATTAACCTAGAGTTACTTAAGTGCTCCTCTTTTTTCTTTTTAATTCTCTGTTTTGAAGGGGTGCCTAACTTTCTGTTTCCATCTAGTACTCGACGCCCTCTATATGGATGACATGGTGAAAAGTATTCGCAATTGGATGAAAAACCCAGCAAGCTCAGGTGCTGTGACAGAAGAGCCACAGAATACATGCGACAACCTGAAAAATACAGTTCATGTTCATATTTTGATTGTTGAAGGCTTTCTGCTATACAATTATGAGTAAGCAGTAGTATGTAACCTGGTATATTAAAAGCTGCCCTAAAAAGGAAGAGGTAACTAAATATGTTGTTATTATTTTAGGCCACTTAATGAACTATGGAATAGAAGATATTTTTTGACCCTTCCTTATGAGGAGTGCAAAAGGAGGAGGAGGTAAGATTATTTGGTTATTGCTCACAAAGGGTCAGTGTATCCCCTAAGCTGGAGTGGCCCTTTTGTATTAGCTTTTCTTTGGTGCTTGATAAATGCAAGCTATTAAGATCATCTGTGATTCTCAGGGAAGGCCATGTGGGTGTTTAACCAACATTAACAAAAGTATGCAGGGATGCGTGGGGGTTTTTGTTTTGTTTTTCATTTTAGAGTAGAAAGATATTAAAGTGTTAAATGTTTTACGAACACTGAAAAGAGAATTTGTTGTCCAGATAAGTTATTCAGGTTACTGACTGCGTATTGGAGTTAAACCATGTTTAAAATGAGAAACAATTAAAAAAAAATAGTAAGCGGCCTTATCCTTAGTTGAATACAGATATGTGATTATTATTGTTAAAGTAACAATGTTCATGTGCAGTTTTAGTGTATGCTTTGTTTAGACTGTGCATTAATTGTACTGTATATGTGATGTTGATCATTGAGCCAGTCTCTGTCTTGCCTACAAATCTGGAGCAATGCTGTGTGGTTGGAGCAATACATGTGCATGAAGTTAGAATCTGCTGGCTCAGTGAAAAAATCCTCTATTTAGCTGGCTTTTGTTGATTCCACTTTCTTGGTTTCTCACTAGACTCACCTTTAAAGGACTTCAGTGTCCAGGCTGGAAGTGACTAGACAAAACTGCTAGTCATTTAAAACTTGAGAAATCTGCATAGCCATTAAAAAAAAGATAAAAAGTAATTTGTTTCAGTAACACTTTTGATACAGCTTAACTTACATGTAATGCCTTTTTCATTAACAAAAACTAAAAAATAAAAAATTTACCTTATCTCAAATGTAACTTGATTGGCAGAAATAGGTAAGTTACCAAGAGTATTGCAGATTATATTAAAACAAAGGCACCTCGTTCGCACTAACAGTTATGCAGCCTGCCAGTCTTTTTTTGTTTTGGATAAATGCTTTTACTAAACCAGCTGACAATAGGGGAAAATGTGAAACTTGTGTGGGAAAGCAAATCTATTTCTGTGTAGCACCAGAGTCTATCAGCCAGCAGATGCACCGGGGTACTTCGATGGACACGTGTGGCCTATGTATCTGAAATATAAAAATGAATTGGAAGAGAATGCAAGTAACATTGGTATGGTATTCTTAATTTTAAACTTATAAAATGCTTACGTGTGGCATTTGTGCAGTTTTTTGGGGGATGTGAGGGTTGTTTGAATGGGACAAAGTTTTCTTCAGATGTTTTTGTGGCACTTGGACAGTAGATCTGGACCATTTGTTGGTTTATTTTGCAAGTCTGTAGGGTTTTTTTGCTTTTTAATAATGAAAATTGTGGTTAATAAAATAGAAATGTTCTGATCACTAATTGAGTCCATTTAACAAGATAGTTCATGTGTGCACATATGCATACGTGCATATGGCTAAAATAGGAATCTTCTGAGACTGATGCACTGGCAGAATTCTTCAGAACAGGGTTGAAGTCCTGGTTGATAAGCTAAAGATACTTCCCAGGTGCTGACTGTACACACTGCAGTCACCAGTCTTGCATGAAAAGCTGGGCCAGCTGATGGGGCAATACCCTGAGCTTGTGTGATGTTCAGGCTTGTACAGCTCTTGGACTGCCTACTTCTGGAGTGGGGGCCAGAGGAAAGAGAAGTTGGGCGGTTGCTTCATCCTTACCATGCAGTGAGAATGGGAACCACGATGCCTTGCTCAAACCCTAAAGCTGAGGAAGAACTTGAGGTCTTCTGCTGCATAGGGACCTTTCTGCTGAATTATTCCATTGCTGTACTGTCTTAATGTTATTACTGCTACCCTTATGGAGAATTTCATACCCCAAAACATTGTAAATTAGTTCTTAGCTAGGATAGTTTTCCATTATGTTAATTTTTTAACACGTAAAATGAATTTGGGAAAGAATAAAAGAGGTACTGGTCCTGGTTTTTATCTCTTCTGATGCCACCCATAGGAATACTGAAAACTACCAATTGCTATTACAGATAACTGGCATAGAACTCATAAAAACTTCTTCTTTTGTCTTTCTTAGTTTATCTGGATGGAACAAAATCCCAAGAGGAGCTTTTATCGTGTGTGTATAGTGATATAATAGAGGAATTAAAAAAACTGAGGGAAGGAAGTAAGTAATGTTACAGGTAATTGAATCTGCTTATCCCATTCCAAATTAACAAGAAGCTAATCCTTTTATATGGAAATACTGCAAGGATTATATAGATCTATATCTCTTTATGTATTACAGTCCTTATGCACGTTTGCCCATTACTCTGTCATCATAAGCTATAACTTTTAAGTTCCTTGAAATTGGATATCCTGAAATAATAGGTGAATCCACCATTATTTAATAATAAAATAATAATAAAAAGGGAATAAAAAGAAGGAATATGGGGCAATGGAATATGGAATATGGGGCAAAACATCAATGAAAGCAGACATGTTGGTGCTATTAGTTTCTAATATACAATGAAGTCACATGCAAACAGAGAAATGACACTAAAGGTTAAATGTGTACTTTTTATTTTAGATGAGCCGGTCACAGCATGATAATGTAGAAAGCCTGTGTTCCATTTGATACGAATTGAAAACCTCAAGACTGTCATACTTGGCAAGCCAACCAACTGAGCCGGTGTCATGTGTATGTCCCTTCATACAACACAAGTAGATTTGTAGTGACTATTAACTCTGTAAGCCTCCGATATTGTTGAGTAGTATCAACAGTGCATTATTCTTTGTAATTCCTTTAATCAGTCATGCTTTGGCTGATCTTTAAATCTGATTGAATGCATACGTTTCAAATATGAACATTTTTGTGTACAAAACTAAACTATAAAGATGCAGTTCTGTTGGATTAATAAGCATATTCGAACATGGATGAATACAGTTTGAAATGTTCATATCCGAATGACAGTGATTACCTCTAATATTCTTATGAGCTTCTAATTACTGGTAAACCTGGCTAGGGGAACTAGCTATATGCTGTGGGAAAAGTAAGTTTAAGATTATATAAGCTGTAGCAGTGCTTATTCAGTAACTGAAGCTGTCATTGAGTACCTTCTAACTGAACTTACTTAGATTTGCTAAACACCTCTGTGGTGTTTGTCACATATTTTTTATGTTGAGTGTTGGTTGGAGCAATTGGGAATGGATATTTTAAAAATTCAAATAAATCTGAAGAGAACTCAGGTTGTTGGAAAAAGATGGGGGAATAAGATGTCGGAGAGAATGCAGATGCATTGCTAACAAGGTTAAGTAGGTATATATAGACTACTAGACAATAAATGCATGTTTCAGGGAGGAGGAAGGAAGAAGTAATTCTTACTAATATTCGTAGCTCAAGTTGAAATTATAGTAATGAAAGTGTTCAGAAAGCAGCTATGCTAAACATATGTTAAAGCTTTGTTGTAGGATTTGTGTACATATATTGAGATAAACTGGGAAACTGGGAAGTTGATCGTATTTGGCTGCTGAATAAGTAATGTAATATATTAACTCTTACATTTTCTATAAAGTATCTTACATTTTTATCAGCCAGAATAAAAATCAAGCTACAGACATGAAAAGCCAAGGATGGACATCACTTACTATATGTCAGATGATTGATTGAAATGTCAGATGTGATTGAAATGTAATGCTTTATTGTTGACAGGATTAAGAGTCCTAAACCTGTATATAAGAAAAAGGTCTTAAACAGATTAGAGCTGTATAGACCTCTGTTTAAGACCAAGTGCTTCCAAATACTAATTTGTATTATTATTTTGCAGTAAAAATACTTCAAGTTGCCTTTGCTCAAATAGCAGTGATGGGCTATCTGACTTTAAACTGTATTTTTATTTCCCTTTGGAAGGGGTGCAACTGTGACAGATTAGCTAATACTTCGATGGTTGTGGTGGGTTGACCTACTAGGCCGTTCTGTCCCTCCTCTCTTCATCTGGACAGGAGAAAAAATATAACAAAAGGCTTGTGGGTTGAGATAAGGACAGAGAGATCATTCAGCCATGACAGTCACAGAAAAAAATCAGACTTGGCTTGGGGAAATTAAATGTATTGCCAGTCAAATCAGAAAAATCTTCAAACACCTAGGCTGAACTTCACTCCCAAATTCTCTACCTCCTCCCCCCCACAGGGGGATGGGTGATGGGGGTTGTGGTCTGCTCATCACATGTTGTCTCTGCTGCCCCTTTCTCCTCCAGTGGAGGCCTCTTCTCACTCTTCCCTTGCTTTGGCGTGGGGTCCTTCTTATGGAAGACATTACTCCACCAACTTTTCCAATGTGGGTCCTTCCCATGGGCTGCAGTTCTCCATGAACTGCTCCAGCATGGGTGCCTTCCACAGGGTGCAGTCCTTCAGGAACAGACTGCTCCAGTGTGGATCCCTCAGGGGGTCATAAACAAACATGCCAGCAAACATGCTCCAGCATGGTTCCCATGGGGTCAGCTCCTCCTTTGGGCATCCATGTGCTTCGGCGTGGGGTCCTCCACGGGCTGCAGGTGGGTATCACCGTGGGCTGCAGGGGGACAGCCTGCCTCACCATGTGCAGGGCATGAGAAGATTTTATTATGGCAACCTGGGATAGTTTGCTTCCCCACCATCTGCACATACCCCTGCCTGGGTGCCAACATGGTGTGCAGCCATGGATCTCAGAATTCAGACAATTGCATTCTATCAGGAAGCTCACTAATGAGCAAACCAGGACATTGCATATGCTTGATATGTTAAACAGTGCAAGTTTTATTATCCACCTCTGTGGTGCTTTCCCTTGAGCTTCAGTCACAAGCCAGGGTTCCACTGCGTCAGGTCACAGTTTGATTAGCATCGGTGTCCCAGGGCTCCCAGTGTGGTGATGCCACCATTTCCATAAATCCAAAGATTTCACTTGTTGAGCGCTGTGCTTTGTCCCTGTGGGATCTGCGCCTGCCTTTCACTCGTAACAGCATGGTCTTCACTAGGAGCTGCAGGGGAATCTCTGCTCCAGTGCCTGCCACACCTCCTCCCCCTCGTTCTCCACTGAATTTGGTGCCTGCAGAGTTGTTTCTCACATAACTCTCAGTCTTCTCCTCTGGCTGCCGATGCAGTTTTTTCCCCATCTAAAATACGTTATCACAGAGGCACTACCACTGTCGCTGATGGGCTCAGCCTTGGCCAGCAGCAGGTCCATCTTGGAGCTGGCTGGCGTGGGCTCTATCGGACACGGGGACAGCTTCTCACAGAAAGCACTCGTCTAGGCCCTGGCTACCAAAACCCTGCCATGTAAGCCCAGTACAATGGTAAAGGGAAGAAATCTTTTGCTCTTGCTTTTACCATCTCTGCAAGGAACTTGTAGGCTTATGGTGCTTCTTTAATAACTTTTCAAGTATTTTCTTGCACAGAGAAATGTGTGAGTACAATTTAAAATGGTATGTTGGTTCCAGAGGAACATAAGGGATCCTTTTCTGAATTCAGCAGGATAGGAAGTGAAGGGTTAAGACTGAATGGGCTTGTCCTGGTTTGAGGTAAAACAGAACCAATTTTCTGTTGAGCAATTTTGCTTTTCAGCTAAGCCTCTTCTAACTAACTGAACTCTCTGAAATTAGTGGCATATTTGTCATACAATGTCTGCTTCCAGAGACTGATAAGACCTGATTGTTTATAATTTATGCCAAGGAATGGTATGCAGAGAGGTTCTTCTTATAATTACTGCTATAACAACCAAGGTCAGATAACTTTGTTATGTACCGTGTTGGAGGGTCAGAGGCAGAAAAGCGTAGAGGGGTCGCACCTGTGCAGAGAAGCAGACAAACTGACCAACATGTTATTCTATCCCATCTGCCCCATACTCAGTATAAAAGCTGAAGGATCAAAGGATCAAAGCTCTCTTTCTTCAGTGGCTGGCGTCTCAGGAGGACCCTGTCTGTTTGTCTGCCTTTGATCCCAAGCTCAGCATTCCTGAATCCAGTTCCTGAGTTCAGCTCCCATCGATTGCCAAGTCAGTCTGGGACTCTCCCAGTGCCTGTCAGTGATGTGATCATGATCTTGGGAAATTATATGGTTTTGTATATATATAGTATATATTTCATAATTTTCTTACTTTTCTCTTTATTATTAATATTTCATTTACATAGTTTAGTTGCTTTGAAACTCAAAAGTCTGTCCTTCTCTGATTCTTCTCTCACTTGGGAAAGAAGTTAGAGAGCATCTGTCATTTGTTTTAGTGGCCAGCCCAGCCCAAACCACAACAGAGCTGCCCTGAGGAGGAGGAAGAATTTCAGTATTGGCAGTCCTGGAGTGATTTTATTCAGCAAGTGACTCAGAGGAGGGACTGAACAATTAAATCACCCAAGATGATACTGAGCTTTCTCAAGTAGTCCAATATTAGTCCAGTGGCAAGGAGCTTAGTTTTGTAAGATCTGGCAAAAGGGGTAGATGAGCTCCAGTACAGACATCTGCATTTGTGGTGTAAATCATTTATCAGAGTACACATGGTACTGAACTTGTAGTTCAGCAACACGTAGTTGCAACTCAGAGCAGAGATCTTTGGCAGTTCTTCTGAAAACACCACATTGTGGAGCAGCATCAAAATATTCGGTAGGCATCTTATGGAAGGGTATTGCGAACAAAACAGGTGGTGCTACTTTGCTCCTGTGTAAAACTGATGGACGCACATTTTCAGTATTGGGCAGTTCTGGTTTCTACATCTGGAAGGAGTTAAAAGAGTGGCAACTAATGTGATCATGTCGGTGACAAACACATAACCACTGGAAGGTAGTTATATGCGGTGCTTTATTTCGCGGGCCCGGGAACCAGGGGTAGTCACCCAAATCTGGTTCGCCGACGACCGTGTCAACTTACAATTTATACCCTCACGATTATGCAATTTCATACATATTCAATAGTCACCCCATCACCTCTTATTACATATTCATTAGGGATTGCTTCATAGATTGCGTCATTCTGGCGACATTCCAGTCCCTTCTGGTGGTCTTCGGTGGTCGTTTCTGATGAAGTAAGACGTCTTCCTCGCTGTGTACTTTTTACCTTTCGTCCTTCTGGTAGGTTTCCAGGCCCGTTTTAGATGCCTATCTCCTCCTTATTCTTCTTGACTTTTCAGGCGTCCTGGGTATGCCGCTTCAGTAGCTTTAAACTATACCCCTCTCCCATTATTATAGAATGCAGTACCGGATCACAAATATACAAAGATTTTACACCAAGTTCAGAACACCTCGTATTTTCCAACAATCAAGGGAATGGAGGAGCCATTTTGTAAGGAGAGACTAAAAACGCTGGAACCCTTTTACTCTGGAGAGAAGACTGAGGGGAAAAACAGCCAAGGTTCACAAAATCTTGAAAGCTGCGAGTCAAGTGGATGCAGAGCTAGTGTTCACCAAATTGTACAAATGCTAGTTTAGGGGGGAATTCTCCTTTGCTTGAAACAGATTTACCAGTTACATTAAGGTAATGTTTCACACAGCAGACAGTGAGTTCTGAGATTTAATGTCACAGGAGGCAAGACAGTACCAGCAAGTTCAAAAGGAACTGGGAAGATTCATTGACACCACACCGTAAGAAGTAGTAGAAGCACCAGGCAGAGCTATACCAAGGATGGCCTGTAAAAGCTGGCCAGGCTCACCAGTGGTGTCTAAATTGGCTGTCCTCTTGCCGGTTGCTACAGCAACTCACCTTAGTAGAAAAAGACAACGAACTCTTTGAGTCTTTTTAGGAGATAAAAGTATTTCAGGTGCCATTATAAAAGCTTACAGAATTCCTCTGCGACGTTTGTATGTTGGTAGGATGCTTTTGCTTTGAAGGTGGTACAGCCCCTGAGAGGAAAAATCTACTTTGCCCCTGACAGATGCTTTTTAACTGGCAGGGCTGTGCTAGCTCTGTGAAGCAGCTGGGGAGCACTGCAGGAGAGGAGCCTGTGGTTCTTCTGTGAAGAAAAGATGTTTCTTTGGAAGTGGTGTCTCATTCCACTGGCTGCAACTTCAGGCTGCCACGGCGGACGGAAATGTTTGCTAAGTGTCTTGCATGTGTTTAGAAACATGGTGGCAATAAAAGTGGTGTTACTCTATAGAAGGCTATTGGCTTACATAAGAAGCAGAGAAATGCAAGTACAGGATTAGTTTGACATCAAGAAAGCAGTTTCTTCATGATGTCAAAACAGAATATGACAATGTAGTAGTCATAGACACTGATGTAGTAGGACCAAATTTTTTATGTTACAGAGCTATTAGTAGCTCCCTAACCTTCACAGTCAAGTCTGAGACCTGAGTTTCTAACTGGTTATGCTGTATATTGATTCAGATGTTGGTTTTCTCACATGCAGGGTGTTTCCTCACAGCAGGTCTCACATGCTACTTCATGAAACCATTTCATGAGCTCTTGGCAACAATGGCTCTTTTAACCATCCAAGAATGATGTCTGTGCTTTCTCTCCAGCCCTGCCACTGAACACACCTTTGTAGTCAAAGCTGCCCAGTCAGTCAATGTAGTTGCAAGAGAGCCAGAGCAATGTCAGAGTAAAGAAAACTGGAAACATTAAGAATAAAGTGAGAGTGTTTGTTGTTTCCAGAGAGAAGGGTAGTGTGCCAAAAACCGCGTCCTGTTCCCCTTTGACGCTACTTGGTGTACTAAAAGACTACAACTTTCTGCATGTGGAGTGAGTAGGACACTACTCTTCAGGCTCTCAAACCGAGGAGGGGGTAGGCCCTTACAAAGAAGGCCCTCTGCCACCAGCTGCCTGTTCTCAAAGCAAGTTGCAAAGGCGGCTGGTGACTTGCTGCAGGACACACAGAAGGCTGTCAGCAGCTAGTCGAACAAGTCCTGTCAACTGGCGGAGGACATGCTCAAATTGTCCTCACCCTCAGGGTTTCTGTGGGGGGAAAATTTTCTATCTAGTGACTCATGCATTGCTAGATGCTGCTTAATTTGCCTCCTCACTTTTCTTCTCCACCCATGTCTGTCCCCCTCCTTTTTGAGGGCAAGCATAATCCAGCCATAGTCTGGTGGAGAGGTATTTGCACAGCTCCCTTTGCGGCCCCTTGTCAGCTCCCCTCCCTCAATGCTGGCGGCCGGCTGCTGCACGCTGTACCTCACCACAGCCCAGAGCCGCCAGCCAGGCAGAGGCGGCCTATGGCCTGCCAAGGACAGAGAGCTGCGGTTCGCTAATTGCTGAACTTGTACTTCAGTTTTCGCGTGAGGCTTCCGGAGGAGCCAGGCAGCCAAGCACCCTCTTCGGGTACACCCCACGAGGCCCTTCAGCCTCCTTGCCGCCATGTGCGACCTCACATCGGCTGGGACTAGGGCTTTCCTCCCTTCCTGTGAGCGCTAAACCCGGATAGGGAGTGCTTTGCGGCGGCACCGGATCTAAAAACGGTCCGGGAGCGACGCGGGCGGGCTCCCCTGAGCCTCACGTCTAAGGGTTTCCATCCCCTCCCGGCCCCAACCGCCATTAAGCGACACCCGCCCTCCGGCTGTCACCGCGCACCCTGCCCAGGGTGACGTCATCGCCCCGGCCCCCCCCACCGCGCCTGTGCTTGCGCCCGCCGCCCCTCCGCCCCGCGCCGGAAGTGAGGGAGGGAGGGAGGGAGGGAGGGAGCGAGCCTGCGTGCGCGCGCGGCGGTGCGCGGCCGTTGGCGGCGGCCGAGCCGCAGGAGCCGAGGGCGCTGGCGGCGGCGGCGGCGGCGGCCACGGCAGCCGGGGTGGAGGAGGAGGAGCGGCTGGAGCGGGAGCATTTCCGGAGGATCATCAACGCCTTCCGATACTACGGGTAACCCAGACCGGCCGCCCGGTGTGCGGGGCCATGACAGGGCCCCTTTCCCTCCTCCTGTCACGCCGCGGGCGTCGGGAGCTCGCCGTCCCAGCGGGCCGCCTGGTTCCCGGAGCTCTTGGCTCTTCCTTGCCTGCCGTGTTGGCCGCCTCCCCCTCGGCCTGTGCGCCGCCGGCAGCCGCCGCGCCCGGCGCGGGGTAGGGAAAGGACCTCTGCGCCCCTTTCCCTTCTGGGTGCGATCGAAGTCGCTCCGACGTTTTTTGCCAGCTAGGAAGGATAAAAGGAAAAAAAAAAAAAAGAACGACGCATCTGAAAAGGGTGTAAAAGGTCTATTTTTATAAGATGAAACGCTTTAAGATGCTATAAAGCATGCAAAACAGTAGTAGTTCCTGCTGGTAAAGAATTGCAAACGGTGTTATCGTTATTAGGGAAATTTTGGAAAGACGTATTAATTTGCACAGCAGCTGAGACTTGTCGATATGGCTAATGGGTGCCTTTTTTAGACATCTGTTGAGACAGAAACCGGCTTGATGGCCCCACAGGAGTGACATAAAGTGAGAGGGGGACACACCCGGCTTTATATCTGAATCCCCTGAATGGAAGAGGAAACTAAAGTTACTCAGATTGCAGGGTGGGGGGACTGGCTGAAAAAGTCCAGTCCCCTACAGTATTTTGTCTGCCACTCTACGTTTAGAAAGCATATTTGGCATGTAGCTACCCTTCATATTTGTATACTTCAGTTGACAAAACGTCACCATGAGAATCGTGTGCTCGACCCTTTTTGTCAGTGTAGTACAAGCCATAATTTTTATGTGACAGCAATGTTCTTGGAAGGAGTGGATGATATATAGAGTATTTCTTCTGCTTGCTGTATTTATGTCTTGGCATTTTTTTGTTTTCCAGGACTAGTAGTTGAGCAGGAGGTTAGTCTCGATGACATTTTGATGATGTCTCTACCAAGAACTTAATATTAGTTATTACTATTAGCACCAACAGCCAACTGTAATTTACTTACATCATTGATGTAATTGTATCCTCAGGCCTTAGAAGCTGGGAACATGTTTCTCAACCTTGTGCTCAGCTGTGACTCTGGGTTGCTTTTGAATATTTCAGTTTTGGTAAACATATAAAAAAAGGATATGACTCAAATTTCTGCTACAGAAATTGAATTAAATTAGCTCTGACTCAAAGAAATAACTCTGAATTTAGGTGAACTCATATATATATATTGGGAGTTAAAAGTCATTTAATTAGAAACATCTATATGAGTAAGGTGATAACACTTTCAGATGAGTGCAGATTAAAGTTCTTGTATTCTGGAGAATTCATAGAATTCATAGAATTGATTTGGTTGCAAGAGACCTTTAAGATCATAAAGTCCATCCATTAACCTAGCACTACCTAGAAAGCACATCTACGTGTCCTTTCCGTATCTTCACGATGGAGACTCAGCCACTTTCCTGGGCAGGCTGTTCCAAGGCTTGACAGTCCATTCAGTGAAGAAATTTTCCCTGATATCCAATCTAAACCTCCCCTGGCACAACGTGAGGCCATTTCCTCTTGTCTTATCACCTGTTACTTGGGAGAAGAGACCGACCCTCACCTGGCTACAGCCTCCTTTCAGGTAGTTATAGAGAGCAATAAGGTCTCCCCTCAGACTTCTTTTGTCCAGGCTAAACAACCCCAGTTCTCTCAGCTGCTCCTCATAAGACTTGTTCTCCAGACCCCTCATGGGTTTTGTTGCCCTTCTCTGGACACACTCCAGCTCCTCAGTGTCTTTCTTGGAGCAAGGGGCCTGAAACTGAACAGTATTTGAGGTGGGGCCTCACCAGTGCTGGGTACAGGGAGACAAGCACTTCCCTAGTCCTGCTGGTGACTCTATTTCTGATGCAAGCCAGGATGCTGTTGGCCTTTTTGGCTGCCTGGGCACATTGCCAGCTGTCAATCAGTACCCCCCCAGTCCTTTTCTGCCGGGCAGCTCTCCAGCCCCTCTGCCCCAAGCCTGTAGTGCTGCATGGGGTTGTTGTGACCCAAGTGCAGGACATAGTAGATAGTAACTGGTCACGTTTCCAGACTGAGGTTGCAACTAAAATTGCAGCAATTGCACCTTGCTCTCTCTGATAGCTAGTTTTCAACTCTGTGCTACTGTACGCTGACACAAGAGTTTGAGAAGCCGTGCCTGATAACATCTGCTGACAAAAGGGCAGTATCCCTTGTCCTGGCTTTCTTACCGCTTTCTCTAGAGTTCTTATGACTGTGCTCAGCCAACTTGACTTGCTAAACTGACAGAAATCAAATATAGCAAAATCTGTGCAGCCCTCTTCGGGGTTAGCATGTTGAACGAGCTTTGTGGCAGGCTTAATGAGTGCTAGAACAAGATGGAGGGCCAAACTGTTCTGGCTGAGGAGAAGGAAGAGGACAAAAAAATCCCAGTCCTCTTGGCAATAGATTCACCATTTTTTATGGAATTTATTTTGGGGAATTGGAAGAGTTCTTTTTAGCTTGGATAAGTTACGCGACCGAATTCACAGTACTTGTACGTGAGTGGAATATGCTATTAAAAGATGGTAGCTCAGTATCTTGGTGTGGGCACCAGAACTCCAATATGGTCCAGCTGTGACTTGCGGTTCTTTCTGAAGCAGTTGATTTTGAGGATCCCTATTCCCACTCCACCACTCTGGTTGTTCAGTAAATTTTGTAGATCCATGTACTAAGGTAGTGATCACCTGTGCTGGAAACGAGCAGCTGATGATACCGCAAGAAGAAAACAGTGGTCCTCTTAAACTGCAACAAGTTATTAAGAGTGGTAATGTAGAACTAGAGTTTTAAACAAACATTTTGCCTAAAATTCTTGAAAACTTGTTCTCTAGTAAGGAATTACAAAGTCTGATCACTTTCTGTTTGTAAAGAAATGAGTAATTGTAATTGGAGTAGTTTAGAGTGCATTAGTTATATTTAGTGTGTGTGTTGCTTCTAAAGACCTTAAACCTTTTGCTTTTTAGAACGAATATGCATGAACGAGTGAACAGAACAGAGAGACAGTTTAAATCTCTCCCAGCTAACCAACAGAATCTTCTTCCTCAATTCCTTCCCCACCTTGACAAGATTCGGAAGTGCATTGATCATAACCAAGAGATCCTACAGACCATCGTGAATGACTGCGTTCATATGTTTGAAAATAAAGAATATGGAGAAGACGTATGTTAAAATATACTTTTTCATACTTCATAATTAAATTCTGTATGCTTTGGGATTTTTTTACGTTTGTTTTTCACACTCTTACGGCTCCAACTTCCTTTACTTTCGCCTTCTTTATTTTCTGCTTTCTTGTTTCCTGTTTGCTTACATTTTCTTACTCTTGTCTTTCACATCTTGTAGAGCTGTTGTTAGTCCTTGTAGTTACACTTATGAAAACTAATTGGTGAATCAGGCAAATCAGAGTAATCATTCTTAAAAAAGCAGTTTTTCACTCCAATTCTAGCTTTATCCTGGTTGCATTTTAAAGTTGTTTTTTCAATTAACTATGTAGAGCATAAATGACGGTGTCTGTCTAGGATATTATATGTTACAGCATTCTAAATCAGTTACAATTTTAGATAGGCCAAGTATTTTTCATGTTCTTATCTGTGAACACTTTTTAACGACTTACCTGCTTTTTCAGTGTATCATCTATTAAACAAAAGTGCAGTCAGACTTAAAAGACTGGCAGAGATGATAACTGAAGTTGCTTTTTGGTATCTGCAGGCGAGGTATGGTAATGGGCAGCTCTAACGTGAGCTTCTCAGTGTTGCCTTACCAGTACCTAAAGGGGATTCTGTGCTCAGAGTAAGCAGTTCAGCTGCTTCACTAGCTAAGCCCGTTTCCTTTCCGGAATAAGGACTACCAAATGTGCTCTGCTATGCCACACTATGTATTGTTTTTTGATGTGGAACCTGGTTGCTTGGGTCCCAAATTGAGACCAGCAAACTGAATTTGTTTAGGATTCCAGGTTGTATTTGAGCCCTGGTCCCAGGAGTGAAAGGCGAGTGCTTTGTCAGCTATAACTCCCAAGAGCCCTTACAGCATGGCTTTTGTCTGTTTATAATTTATTTCTTTCCTTGTTTTTTTTTTTTCCCAAACTAAAGGTACTTGGTACGTTTTCCACTAACTTTTTTTTTTCCTCCCACTTTAATCAGGGAAGAGGGAACATTACACCAGCTTCAACATTTGACATGGATAAATTAAAATCCACTTTGAAACAATTTGTAAGAGACTGGAGTGAAGAGGGAAAGCCTGAGAGAGATTCCTGCTACCAGCCAATCATTAGTGAAATTACAAAGAACTTTCCAAAAGAAAAATGGTAATAGTGCTTTAAGACTTAACTTTATGTGAGCATACACTTTGCACAGAGCATACACTTTGCACAAATCTAACAAAGTTTTTATGGAGTAATGAAAAGCTTGGATTTAAAGAGACATAAAACACTGTGAATGCAGTGGAATTTATTTTTTAATCAAGAAAACTTTTGTTTCTAATACAAGGTTTTGGAAAAGAGTGTAATCATAGACTTCACAAAGGAATACCAGGTAAAACAGAATTAATTATGTTTTTTTTCTGCAGCTTGACATAATGGGATATCTCTTAACTTTTCAAATAAGAGACCTCAGGAGATTGTGAAGTGAATTCAGTTGTGCTCAGTGAGGTAAAGTTTGCAGGTTAGCAGATCAAGCATATTTGCTGCAGATAAAGGGGAGGACCCTTGTGACAGCCACAAGTATGAGTATCGCCTTTCATGGTGGAAGGATGGAGAAAGAAGACTCTTAACCTCTATGGCAGTTTATTGCACTAAGAATTTACCTTGCAAATACTTAATTTACCCTTGGTTTCAGACAGGTGTTACAAGGCAAGTCTTAAAAAAGCTTTGCTGCTTGTGTGAGGGTAGCTTTGTAACTGCATTGGCTTGTTAACACCACCAAAATAGTAATCACTGCAGGGGTTTTTAGGTACCTTCTAAGTAGAAGTGTAGTGGTAGAATCTCAGGGTACTACTGCTGTAAGAATTCCATGTTTAATGGTTCTGCCATTTATTCAGCCCAGTCATCATAAAGTAGCTTTCAGTTTAAACTGGGAAATTTAGTGAACTTTGTACTCATAAATGTAACAGGTAAGTTCTTGGGTTTGATATAGCCCGGTGTTACTGTGGGTTTCCCTCTTTCTCAGTAATTGATAATAATGCACTTTTACCTATTTTAAAATACCTTCCAGTAGCTGTCTTTTGGTTTTCATTAGTAAAGACTTAGTGCTGGCAGAACATGGAATGGACATGGTTGGTTTCTCTTTTGCCTTGAACTAACCTATCTGAAGGTGTATGCACCACTAAAAATGTTTTATCTGAAGGTGAACTTTCTGTAATGTTTTTAGTGCTAATAGTGCACTACATAAGATAATAATGAGTTAAATACTACAGGTTACCTGATGTATCTCTGATGTGCAGATCTGTAGGAAAAGTCATAGTTAGTTTCAAAAGTAATCATTCTAATCTTCAGGGCAACTTTTTCTCTGTGTGCTAGCTTTTTTGGTTATGAGAGAGGTAACTTAGGTCAAATCCTAAGAGATCCCTGACTGAAGTTGGAAAGTCTTGACTTTTACATTAATGATCTATTTCAAGTACTCTAATTGGTATTAGGAAGGAACATGGGGTAACAGACTGGGGGAATCTGAGGTTGATAGCTTTGGGCTTCTTTACGAGGAATTCTGTTTGTGGTTGTCAAACACAACTAACATGACAATGCCTTTGTCCCTGTTGTGATGGCTCTGAAAGACCAGTTGGGGTTTTTTTTGGCTCTGCAGAAATCTCAGAACTTCACTGTATAGATCAAATGTGAGTTTCTCAAATGAAACATTTTTTTTTTATTTATAAAATGTGTAAAGGTTTAATATTGATGATCATTATAGACCTGTCGTAGCATTTAGACCTTAGAACCTTTTCTGTGTTCACCTATTGTTCCTTTACTGTTGTCAGCTCACTCTTTTTTCCTAGTGACTGGAGGCTCTCCTGCTTAGGTATACATAACCTCTCTGAGGCAAGAAGCAGAGTTGTTCAGAAGGGTCTTTTATCTTCATACATTATCAGGCTCAACTGGTAGTGCCACCTCGTCCTTGTCTGAGAGGTAGCTTCCCTGGCAGTGCAGGCTGGCTGATAAAACTGCTTCCTTTTTTACAATTTTGGACAGGAGCAGTTGTTTTCAGTTTGAAGGGATGGACAGGGACTGAACTGACCGTAGTGAAGTTATTCTGGCTGTTGTGTATAGTGGGTGCAAAGTCCATTTTCTCGGGGAGGGGGAGGAGGGGACTGGCTGTGAGGGCTAATGTGGGAAAACAGCCTGTAGATGGAACCTCAGAGTGCAGCTTTACATTCCTTTAGAGTCCACTTTTATAGTGCAGAGTGCTGAAGTCTGACGTGATGAAATGAAAGTGCTAGAGAAATAGTATGTTGTTGGCACTGGCTAATGAGAACAGCTTTGGCTAGATGTATTTTGCTTTGAAAAATATGGAGAAATATTTAATTCTAAAGCTGTTATTACAAGTCACATTTTACTTTTTAATGGCTTCAGTGGAATTGTACATTCAGTTTCTAGTTAACATTATTGGTTCCATTCATTGGAGTTATGTGAAAAAGGAGTTAAATTTTTGACACTGTTTGAGTATGTTTCTCTCCGTGCATGCACATGTTGTATTGTCACTTTTATTTGCAAGATTGGCCTTTGGTTTTTGTTGGTGTGCAAAGAACAGAAGTGATGTATATGCTTCCCCTTCTGGTACCATGTAGCCCTCTTCCCTGCTTTTTAGCCAGCCTCCTCTCCCCAAACCTGTCAGGTTAATAAGCCAATATGTCTTCCTTGTTGCCCCACAGGTTTTTAGTGGGTACCTGTTGGGTACCTATTTATGTTCCTAAACAGTGCTAGATCTGTGTCATAGAAATCCTGCTGCCGCTGGCTAGTTCGAAGCTGGTTTCGCTGTGGATAGCCTTGGGTTACTACCAGTTACCACAGTTTGGGATTATTTTTTTTTTAAATGTGTTTGCTACTGCTGCGAGTGCATATGTACCAAAGGAAAGTGGCTTCACAGACGTGCTCTTCAGTAATAGCAAAGTCTTGCTTTCTTGCTTAGTAATGAGAAAACAAAGAATCTGAAAGTATGATAGAATGGAAATGAAAATCAGAAATGAGAAAAACTTTGATTTTCCATTTGAGAGGCTTCACTAATTAGATGATTAAGTCACAAATCAAAAGGGACTATTAAAACTGTTTTGTTAGTTTGTGTGGCCTTTAGAAAAGAATAATGCTGTCTCTTGATTTTGGGTAATAGTCTTCAGATATGTACTACTTTTCAGAATTTACGTAACTCCTTCACTCATCTTCATGGTTATGCAGTATGCTAACTCTTTTGAACCTTGTTTCGTAGCCTGAATTTTTAAGTAGTCAATGGCTTCGCGTTTTGCTTTCATTGCATGTTTGGAAGTGCTGATTGTGGCATCCTTCATTTATATGCATATAAATTGATATACAAATACTTTGTCTGTGAATGTGATATGCAAAAGGTAGGCTAATGGGAGTGTTCAAACTTGTTTTTTTGGTATATGAAGTTATGAGGTCTTATTCATGGCTGAAAAAATATTGCTTTTTAGATTAAGTGTCTTTTCATTTTGGCGTGGGAGTGATTTTTGGTTTATGAGTGAAGGCTCGAATGCATTGTGATGTAAGTCTAATGGTTAGAACACGTATATATTGCCTTTTCTACCTGAAAGAAAATTTTGAGATTCTTAGCTCTTCTATTAGTTGCTGAGCTTGGAAAATGGGAGAGGTTTTCTAGGTATCACAGTAAATATGCACTGCTGGATGTCTTCTGGTCGTGTTCAACTTGATGCCTAGTTAAGGGAAGTGAAGATAAAGAGACCTGCAGTGTACTTTGATTTAGAAAAATCTCGTTACTTAATGTGTTTGAGTGAAATCAGTGAACAGCATATGTAAACCCCACAGTTACTGAGAAGGTAACTACTTCAAAGTTTTTACAGTCTGAATTGCTCGTCAACTTATGGAAGTTTTGTGTTTCTGATGTCAAAATACTTGTTTATTTTTCATGCAACATAACTAAGAAGTTTTCTAGAAAATTTACTAGCTATCAGTGGGCCTCCTAGAAAAATAAATGGTGCTATATGATAATGTTCTTTCTTCAATTTACTTAAGATATTTTTAGCTTGATAAATGTAAAAGTTTTCAGGAAAAAAAAAAGTTTTGTAATTATGCTCTGTATTCTGAATGAGGGTTGTATATGTTCTTTTGAGTTATTTCTGTGAATTGTTTTGTACAATTAACCAATCTGATCAGAACTGGCTCAGTTTGCATTTACAAAGTCTACAGGAAATAGATTATAATATCTTAAGTATATGGGGGAAAAATGTTTGACTGGACCTCTTAAGTTTTGTTAAGAGGTATCGGATAAAAGTCTTAACTGTTATTTTTGTTCTATTGCAGGGATTTCTCCAAAGTTAATATCCTGGTACCTGGTGCTGGGCTAGGTAGATTGGCGTGGGAAATAGCTAAGCTCGGTTATGCTTGCCAAGGAAATGAATGGAGCCTCTTTATGCTCTTTTCTTCTAACTTTGTACTCAACAGGTACATAGCTTATGTTTTACTTGCTGATTGATACCTAGGGAGGCAAAATTATAAATGAGAAAAACTTGAATAAATAAAACTCGCGAGAAAATATTTGTAAATCCTAGAACAGGACACACAGAACCACTTTTTAGTATCTTTTAATGAAAAAAAGTAATCAGTGTGATAAGTGGGGGAGGGAAGCATTGTTCCAGAGTCATTAAGATTATAGCAGGAAGCATGGCTTTTAATTTATAAGACTTAAAATCTCTAGACTGTACCACAGATTTTCTGCATAATTTTGCATATGTTTTTATGATTTATTTCACATCTGTTTCTGTAAAATGCACACCTATCTCACTGGTCTCAAATATAGACTAGTTAATGTGTGTGATACTTAGTGATGGTGATTAGTAAGAGAGGAAACATGTTAAAGTGTTACATTCTATACTAAAATTTTAGGTACTGTTTCGACATGAAGAACAACCACCAAAGCACACTGAACAACTTCTTAAGCAAGTGGCTAAAATGATATAGTTCATAGTTCCACAATTATGCTGAGGTACTAAACTTGAGTGTAATAAATTTCACTATAGGTTTAACTTAGTGACTTTTAATATTTGTTACTCTTGTCACTTGAATTGGAAATTACTTATTACAGAGGAAAGAAAACAGCTAAACAACTGTTATTTTAAGAATGAGAGCGGGAAGGCTAGTGTTGGATTGGCAGCTATGAAGAAGGTCGAAGGAGGTGTTTTATTTTTGGGGGAAGTTGGTACCAAGTTCAGAGAGACAGAATTTGTCAGTTCATTCTTCGATCTGAAATGATAAACCTTTGCTGAAAACACCTAAACTATTGGCTTGTTGTATTCTATATTATCACAACAGTTTGGAGCCTTTGTTTTTAGACTGATTGTTCATAGAGCACTGTGATAATGTTAAGTATGTTATGGATTACTGTTCAAAAACAAGGGAAAAACACTTTATTATGCTGCTGCATGTCTGCTTAAAACAGTAGTGTTCAATGTGATGAAAATAAATACTTGCTCAAGGTTGATTCGTTCTCTTTATCACATTCTTAAATGACTCATCTGGTGGTGAAACTGCATATAACAGTTGAGCTGATCTAATGCCTTGCAGCTACTGAAAGGAGGTCACATTCTTCTTGTGCTTAGCTCTACAGCCCTGCTAGCTCTTAGGCACTTTGGAACTTTTGATGTTATTCAAAACAGCATAAAAGTTTTCATTTCCATCTTTGGGAGCATTGATGAGCTGTCATAGTACTTCAAATCTGGAAGTTAACTTCACCCCTGACTACCTCTGATGACACGGTTTTTTGTCTTCCTTAAATAATGAGTCTTTGGCCTGTATGTGGAATTCTCCTGAAGATCCATGCTTAGCCTATGATAGTAATCATTCTTAGCATCTAATGCTCATGTGGAGTTTTCTACTTATGTAAGATACTTAGCAAAGACGTGTATATGCATTAGACTTTCTAACAGTATTAGATTTTAGACAGTAAAACTGTGTTGCTCAGCTTCTGTAATCTTCATTTTTGCTGGGCAAGTTATCAGTTATGAATTTGCCGTTAGCATGAAAGGGAATACTACTTACCCGACTCTGAATTTCAGTCAGTTCAGTTAAGTCCAAGCGTTCTTTTCTCCCATATCTGGTTGTGGGCTTGGAGTGTCTCTTAAGAAAGTTTTAGGCACTTCTGGGATATTTCATTTTAGTCTTAAGCGGCTGATCCCTGTTAGCCTTGTGAAGTGGACTTGTCTCTGTTTTTGGAACTGGAAGGAACAGGAATGTTCAAAGAAGGATTTTGCAGAATAGTTTTTAACTGCAGTTTTAATTTAATTTTTGTTTTCATTTGATGAAAGCATGAGGATTTTGCTAACATGCTTATAGTTTGGATATACCTTCTTTCTTTGGCCCTGCTTTATTTTTAGGAAGGCAAAGTACTGTCTTGAGCGTCAAGCCAACTACTACAGTGGGCTCCTAGATGTGGTACAGTGACTTAAGTCTTCTGTATACGAAGTCGTACCTAAAGTAAAAAAAAAATCTAGTTCTTTTAAATTGTGACGTTTTGTTACTGTGGATAAAGTTGCATAGCGTGTTATGTAGAGAGTTTGTCAAGGTGTAACTGTGGTCATTAAAGTGTTTGAAGTTAATTAGAGTGCGTTATACCAGTGAGGAAGCTCTAATTTGAAAATAAAGTGACGCTGGAGTAGTTAAGCTACAATGGCTCCAAGGCTGCTGCAGTCCTTGTATGGGGTATTTTGTTTTTTCTTGTATGGGTAAGGTTCTTACTGCTGGTATATTTTTCAAATGTTTAGATGAGTTCTGGATATCATGACACATGGCAGATGTCATCACTGGTGATGTATGCACACACTTCATTTTTTACATGTTGGAAGACCAAAAACTGAATAGCATAATCTGTTTTCCTGCTTCTGGAAAGCATACCAAATTTTTCAGGCAGTCTAGAGTCACAGACTTCACTTTGTTATTTCCAAGTACCTCAAAGCCAAGTTACTTCACTTTGACATCTGACAGGAAGGGAAGAAACACTGGGGTTGTATCTATCTGGAGGAGACAGGAGCAGCTGCTGGCTGAGTTGCTGTTTTCAGCAGCTGGAGATTCTGAGCACAGGGTCAGTAGATTCAGTCCAACAGCTTTCAGTAGCTGTAGTCCCACTTACTTCAAATGAACCTTCCCAAATACTCGTAATATAAAATCACTTTGCACCCAAGTCAGAGAAGCATTGGTTTAGAGGAGCTTTAATTAATACTAGTAGAATTCATGCTAATAATTGGCTAGTCTATCGTTTCTGGCAAGAATGTAATTTTAGATAAATCTTACCACTTTGAGATGGCTGCTTAATTGTATTTGTTGCATGTCCATGAATGCCTTAGGATGAAAATTGCTAGGCATTTTATCTTTAAATCAGTTGACAGAAGTAAGATTTGACTTACCATCTTTTCCAGAACTGTCTTTTTGACTGAATGTTGAACAGTAAATGCCCTGCCCCCCCCGGAAAATAGTGAAATGCATCACAGTTAAAGACGTTAGATTTTTATAACGTAACTTACATCATATATCCTTTGTTGGAATGATGAATTACAAAGGACTGCGCTACTTAGTTTTGAAGTATAAATTACTGAAACTGGAAATGGACATTTTCAAGCCTGAATATGGAGAGGGATTGGTCTTTTATATTAAATTGGAAATTCCTTTGAGAACTGTTCAAAAGTCTACATGAATATACTTTGTGTTGGGAAAAGAAAATACAGGGAGGTGTGTGTTCCCTTATAACTCAGAAAAAAACTTAAATCTACTCAGATATCTTACTCTCTTTACCTGGCTCTTGGAGAAGTTTTCATTGTTAAAGAAAAATGTTCTAATAATAATACAAATTAATTTGGAACATATGGAGAACGCTAGAATTGTTAACACGCAACTTCTGTTGACCGGTGTGAGGACTTCCGGTGTTTTGTTGGTGGTGGGTTTTGTTTGGGATTTTTTTTCTTCTCTAAACAAAATAGAAATGCTTTTCTTGAAGAAAATGATGCCATATTATAGGTCTTTTTCCCTGTTTGTTTTTTTTTTTTTTGCTTTGACTGCTACATATATCTGATTGATATTTATTTATTCATTATATATGGACGCAGTTGATGACTGCAGTGTACTGCTGCTCAAATGTAGGTTGTCTTTGTTTTTTTACTGATAAAATGAAATATAAATATGACATGAAGAAGGTGAAAAATGTTATTTCAGAGACTTTACAACAGATGTTTTCTATCCACCAGCCAAAAGAGTGCACTTTCTATAACCTGGTACACTGCTTGCAGTTTATTAAGTATTTGATGATACGTGTTTTATGGGACAGATGTGTCCTCTGTCTCTGAAAGAAAATGGCTTCGTTTTTAAATTACAAACTGATTTTACAGGATTGTGGGGAAAGCTGTTTTTTATACTTCAGTGCTATATTTTATCACTTTTTAAAATAGGAGTTGACCAGGTCACATCAATCCACAAATTTTATTTTACAGAGACGTGTTTACTTGGCATAACTGCAACGCTCCAGATGTTACTAACTTAAAATGACATCTAGTGCAAAACTACTATGCTTTGCAAAATCTAAAAGCATTCCTTCACTGATCTGAAAAATGCTTTTTTTTTTTGCTGTACTTCAAAATGCCTATGATTATGATTCAGACGGGACAAAAGTCTAGAATAAGAACTAATTTTTTCAATAAAATTAATGGAATTAATGAAATGGAACTAATTTTTTTTTAATAAATAGGAAAAAATGATCCAGAAAGTCTTAGCTTTTCTGAAGATACTAAATCATAAATTTCATTGATCTTACAAAAGAATCTTATGCATATTCTTTTCAGTGGAGAAGTAACTCAGGGAAAATGGTAAAACGTGGGAAAAGGCAATTTTAAAATTAAAAAAGATAGTTATTTTGCGGTGATAACTCGTCAGAGTAAAATTGTTTTTTTGATCAGTTCATAAATTTATTTGCAGTCTGAAGTGTTACGAACTAGGTAAAAGTCCTTAAGAAAACATGTAGCTTTTGCAAGAATTTTATCAACAAAGCAATGGATGTTGGTGAAAGTCTTTGACTCCTACATTTTTAGATAGTAGATAAGCAATTAATTGAAACTGAGTTGTGCTGATTTCTGTGTTTTGCAGATGCTCTGAAATTAACTCATGTAAGCTTTATCCCTGGATTCATCAGTTTAGCAATAATAGAAGATCTGCTGATCAGATACGTCCAATTTATTTCCCTGATGTTGATCCTCACAGTCTTCCTTCTGGTTCAAACTTCTCTATGACAGCTGGGGATTTTCAAGAAATTTATTCTGAGTGCAGTGAGTAAATGCAAACTTCACCCATCCATGTAACTGTATCTTCAGAATATTTATTATGGTCCAGTTAATGGCTACAAATAGAAGGGAATTGTATCTACAAGCATTAAGCAAAATGTACTATCTGTGGCAAGATTTCCTTATTTTAAATCAGCTTTGCTTTTCCTATTGGTTCTCAAAAAATATGGACACCTCCTTGCCTAACAGGTCTTTGTTGCAGTAGTCTCTTTCAGAATAGGACAGCGTAGTAGTAGTATGGAAAAGTTTACTTGATACAGAAAAATGATGTTACAAAAGGGACAATGTGACTAGTCACTTTAGTGTAAAAAATAACAATATGAGGGGTTTTATGTCGATTCATTTCCTGTTGTAAAAGCAAAGCAAACTGTTTCAGTAGTACTAAATTGAAAATGGAAACAGTATATACTTATTGACTGTCAGTAGTAAATATTTCAGAGGCACATTATGGGGCTGATAATTATCAAAGATTGAGACTTCCGTCAGTACAAGTAACCCTATTTTTTCTTGTGATACCAGGTTAGTTGTGCTGTCCTCAGTGTAGCTATGAAGTAATTTTCCCTGACTAACCTAATGTTGAATTAACCTGCAGCAGACTATCTTATGTCGTACCTACTCTACCAATTACATATTTAGGATTTGATCAAGGGTAGCACTCACCTGGTTCTTTTATATGTAGTCTAATATAAGCCTATTTAGAAGTCACTATTTTTTCCTTACACAGTATTGGATTATTGCTTCAAACATCTATTTTCTATTTCCACCTTTCTGTCCATATTAGACCCATGAACATTTTTCACCAGGATGATATAGCTATTAATCTACCTATTATTGTACAGGTAGACTTCTAGATACTTTCATGCAGGATCCTTCTTTATAGTTCCTTATTTTTCTGAAGGTTCTGTCTTACCTTAGAACATCTGATACTGGCATAAATTGAGACTTTTAATTTTTTTATTTACAGAACTTAAAACTTATGCAATATCAACAATACCTGTTTAGAGAAAAACAGGGAGACTCATGCTTTGAAAGGTAGACTTTGAAAGATCCTGCTTGTCAAATTAACTAGTGAAAAACAGCTGGAGAAATGTTCAGATACTGAGTAAAACATTTTAAAACCATGTGATTTTTGAAAGTACACTTTAGTCTACACACTTGTATTGTTCTAGATATTAACCAGAAAGGCCCAAAACCATTGCATATTTTTGCAGTTGTATTTTTAACTGTTGTGGTATTTAAGTTTGTAGGACAGGTGAGTAATAGTACGCTTGGGCCTTCATGTATATAAAATGTTACAATATTAACATTGTACAGTATATAATATAAATGTGCCTCATTTTATCTAATGTGTATGAATGCTTCTATAAAATGCATAAATAATAAGTATAATATTTTAGAGTGTGTTATGTATATGTACACATACATATATATCTGTAGGTCACATGAACCCAAACTTCACTGTTGTTAACGTAAACCAAAATATATTATTTATTAGTAAACAAAATTAATAGCCTTCAACTGTTGTTAGTTGAAGGTAACGCTGAGTGCATAAACAAATACTGGGATTATATTATGAATTTTTAGAAGTGTAGAAACATCGAAACTAATCTTTGTATACTTTGCTCTTTTTGTGCAGATACATGGGACTGTATAGCAACTTGCTTTTTCATAGACACAGCACATAACGTTATTGATTACATTGATACGATATGGAAAATACTGAAGCCTGGAGGAATATGGATAAATGTAGGCAAGTGTGACCAACCTTTCTTCCTGCCAGGCCTGACTTAAGTTTTATCTTGTGACAGGCATCTAGTAGTTGAAAAGAGTTGGGGAGGTCAGTGTGTCTGTGCTGAAAACTCCGTAGAGCTAGAAACATCTAAGGCTTGTAAATGATCTCATATGTGTTCAGAATATGTCCAGATGTTTGCTAGTTATAATCAACTCAACACCATGTGATTTTTAAATACAGAAGTAAATCTTCCTAGTGAGATGTTTTCATTCGTGCATCAAAAATTTGTTATTTGACAAATGGAGTGTTTTGTTGTTGTTTTGGTTTTTTTTGCTATTATTCTAAGAAAATAGAACTTGTTCTTTGTGTAAATACTTCCTTGCATTTTTTTCTTGGTATGTTGTCTAATTGGTACTGTGTTGCTTCTAAGCAGAAGCTTTGGGAATGAGATTTATATATGCCTTATCGCAAAAGAAAAGAGACTTAATTTAAGTCTTCCATGTTTAGGGGATAACAGGCAAAATTCGGAAGTTAAACATTTTGTATTGTAGAAACTGGTCAGTCACTAGTCAGTCACTGCACCAGTCCTGACCAGTTGCAGAATGCGAGCAGAGCTCCTGAGTAGACCACAGAACGTCCTGCCTTCTCTTCTATAGAGACAGGCAGAGAAGAAATCTTAAAATAGAGAAAACACAGTCTGTTAGGAAATGAGACTTCATTGTTGAATAAACAGCTGAATTGATTTGCTGCCATTTTGCATCGATTCTGAAATTTGTTATAAAAATCACATTCGAGTGATAGAAATGTGTTCTTTTGTATGTATTTGAATACGTAAGTCTGGATATAAGCGTTCTTTGCCCTTTCAGTGCTTTTGATTTTTAAAACATTTTTGTCTTCTTGATAGCTATTTCCATTTTATCTTTGTATTCTAGGTCCTCTCCTCTACCACTTTGAAAACTTAGGAAATGAACTTTCTATAGAACTTAGCTATGAGGATATAAAAAATGTTATACTACAATATGGATTCCATATAGAGGTAAGAAGATGCTGTAGTATGCAATGAGTAGTATTGGTATAAACCAGACAAACTCCTTTGAATAAACCTTTACCTTAAATTTAGTTCAACATAATGGCATATGCTGATAACTTCTAGGAGAATTACATCTTTATAAAAGTGTTAAAAATTATTTGCTTTCGTAATTTTTAAAAAAGTGTATAGATGGTCTTTGAAATCTGGTAAATACACAGCAATTCTTTTTTTTTTTTTTTTTAAGAGAAACTTGTTTAGTTTTTGTAAGGAAGGTGTTTTGAAAACTGTTGCTTTTTTTTTTTCAGGTGGAAAAAGAATCTGTACTGTCAACTTACACTGTGAATGAACTCTCCATGATGAAATACTACTATGAATGTGTGTTGTTTGTGGTGAGAAAACCAGAATAGGAGTGGTCTGAGTAGGTTAATCAGAAGTAAATGTTGGCTTGAAAGCTAACCGTGAGGGTAAAATGGACTGGGTGATGTCTGGACACAACCTCAAATCAGTGGTGCCTTCTTATTCCTAATAGTATTTAGATAGTGTCTATTTTCTTAATATCTCTTGCTATCCAGACATGTTCTATGCCATGCATATTTGTAATATACTTGTGAAAATGGAGGAAGAAATGTTCACATATACTTATTTGTGCTTTGGAATGCGTTAAAAACAAAAGCAAAAACATTTTCTTGAGAGTAAAGTTTAATGTTTGCCATAATCAGGCTAATTCTCTGCATATGCTGCGTCATTTTTCATAGATTTATAATTAATATCTTTTTTCTGCTTTCTGATGTTACGAATGCATAGTGGTGCTTACTGTACTAGCTATGTCACATTTAGAGAAGTACTTCTAAACATATATTTAAATTATGAAGTCTGAAGTGGTTGGAAAGTGATAAAATTATTCTTGATAGATACAATAGCCATCAGAACTGTTACAGCATTCTCTGTGGAACTGAAATGAAATGCATTATACAAATGCTAATCTTTGTATCGCTCTTGACAATTTAATCAAAACACAGAACCTATAGACAATAAGAAATACTATGTGAAAGCTGAGTACTGAGTAAAGGAAAAGCAGCATGTCACCAAAAAGCCGTATGTTAACCTCATTTCAGGAATAACTCTGATTTTGATTAATCTCTTAGTGTTGAAACTGAAATATGTTAGAGGCTTTGCCATCTTAAAATACATTGATTTTGAGTCACCTACTTACTGCTTAAGCCAAAACAATGAAGCAGTATTTTTGTTAAACATAGTTAACAGAAAGTCATATTATAACTTGAGCTTTTTAAAAGTTGATAACATAGCTGAGTTACTCATGCAAAGTGTAGGTAGTGCAACAGAAAAATCCCTGTTTCTTAAAGGGAGAAAAAAAACAGTTATATGTAAATAGTGTGTGCTGTAACCTAATCATCTCTACCTGAGTCAGCATATGCAGGCCTGTTGGTAGAGTTTCCTTCTGACTTCAGGCAATTTAGCCTTGTGACTAAGTGACTTCTTGGTTCCTTATCATAATGCGTTTTGTTGTGGTTTTTTTTTTGTTCTGGCAGATGTCCCTTACATGAATATTAAACCTACAAATTATGATACTATACAAGAGACTGAGCCTTCTGTCACTTAAAAGGCACTTCAAAGTGACAGAAGTTGTACATGAGAAATTATTAATTAGTAATCATTGTGCTGAGAGGAGATGTCATGTCAGCCATTTCGTTTTCTTAATAAGTTGGTTACCTTAAGTACCATTTTCATTGATTTTCAGAAATTTCTTTAAAAAATAAAAATATTATGATAAGGAATCAAGGTTTTGGTTTTGGTTTTTGGTTTTTTTTGTCCTTTCAAATTTGGTCATAATGGCACTGGAAAATAGCCTGTTTGTTTCCCATTCTTCTAGACCCCCTTTTTGACGGTGAGGTCCTAATCGCATCTCTTCAATAGACCTGTTACTGGCTTTTGGATTTTCCCCATTAACGCCAGAAATTTGTGCCTTTGTTCCTAAATTGAAAGTCTGGAAGGAAGGAAAACACAAACTGTTTTTTTTTTTTTTTTAATTAGTTTCAACACTGCATAAGAGAGGGTGTGTTTGAGTACTGTGCCCCTTTCTGCTCAGAATCGCTATTGAGAATAAAGGCTCCTGGTCTACAGAAGTTTTCAGTTAGAGTTTTGCTTAAACTAGTCTTATTTGAACTGACTCTTCTCTTCTTCCTTAAAAGTGCACCACCAAGATTTAGCTCCATAAAATGAACTGTCGAAGTTCTACCCTGCTCCAAAAAAAAATGTGCTTAAAGCTGAAACACTGCCATTGCAAGGAGGAGATATAAGAATATATAATATATATTGATTTAATTTCCTTATTGTACTATTTACTTTTTTTTTCTTTGAGGGACTTTCTGATTCTTTGCCTTCATTCTGATTTTTTTTTCCCTGTAGATAGAATATGATTTGTCTTGATTTTCAAGCTCCTTGAAGTAAGACAAGGTGAGGTGAATGCCAGTTTTGCCATTGCTGAGTAGTATATCTATGTGTAATGTCACCTAATTTCTGCCCCCAGCCTGCTCTATAGTTACGCTCGAGAGAGGTGGTGTTCCTGTTTTCTGCAAATGGGAAGTTGAACTTTTGCTCTCTGTTTGGATGTTGGTGTCCTTTGTTCTGCTGCGTTTGTTCTTCGCCACCCCATGTTGTCACAAGTGCCATTTTTTTTTGGTGTGTTTTTCACACTTGCTTAGGTCAGGTATTGAGTGACGTGCTTCTGTTTCTCATCTAGAAAGTGCCGGTTTCCCCCGGTGTTTTAAGTTATAAGGGTTGCATTAAGAGTTGGAAGGGGACTGATCTTGCGTGTAAGCCGGCTGAGTCAGTAGTGTTCTACCTGCAGTCCTATTTATGAGTCCTTAAAACTAATCACTGGTATTCTTATTCAGGGGATAATAATTGTGC